CTATCTTCTGACAACACGATGTTGGGTAAGTAGCATTTAGTAGGATTTCACGTTTTTAGACTGTCTTGAGTTCATATCGGTCGATCCCGCTGATCAGCTGAAGCCTCAGCTTGTATATATCCTTTTCCCTTTGGTGTCCTTGATCGTGATATGAAGTTTACTTTATTTTATTTGGTTTACCTATATTTACGCTACTATTCCCCGTCGTTCATTCCCTCCAGCATGGCCGCGGGACTAGTGTTACGGAGCAAATATGACGTCACTGTAATCGGTTAATAGTATACCCACTTGTTTTACGACTGTCAGCATAAAGACAGTAGACGTTAGCTTGTTCAAATTTAATTTTCCTTTTTTTAAGCCCAGCAGATCTTGTCAAAGCGTGTATGGGTCCGTAAACATTTCTCACAAGATACTAGGAGGATGAAAAGAAGAATGGAATTTACAGTGATGACCTACAACATATTGGCCCAGCGCTATCTGATGGACAATATGCACCTTTATGGTCATTGCCCCTCTTTTGTCCTTGCCTGGGAATTTAGAAGGGACAGGTTACTCAATGAGATAACATATCACCGAGCAGATGTAAGCTTACCTGGATGTAAATTTTAAGGATTTTTCAATAATTTTTTTGTACACCTCTACAGTTCTCTGTTTCAAAGATAATGATCCTTATCAGGGCCGTAGCCTGAGCAAAATGCCAGGGGGGGCAGTAAGCGGACACGAGGGGGTGAAGCCCCCGAGGGGGGATGGTGAGGGAGGGGGTTTCCCCCTCCCACGGTGTGGAAAATTTTTAAAAACTGAATGTGTAATACTGCATTCTGGTGCATTTTAACAGGGGGATAGCTCCCTAAGGGAGGGTGAGCTTTTTGGCATGAACTGAGTTGTCTAAAAACAGTACACCTTTGTAAACAGATTGTTGAATGATTGTCTAGTGGCCATGAGTGCATTTTCTCACAGAATTGATACCAACTTTGCAATAATTTTTTTTTACCTTTGCAATTATTTTTTTGCACCTAAAAACCCAGG